GTGTGTGTGTGCTGGATGATGTGTGTGTGTGCTGGATGATTGTGTGAGTGCTGGATGATGTGTGTTTGTGTGTGCTGGATGATGTGGATGTGTGTGTGTGTGCTGGATGATGTGTGTGTGAGTGCTGGATGATGGGTGTGTGAGTGCTGGATGATGGGTGTGTGAGTGCTGGATGATGTGTGTGTGCTGGATGATGTGTGTGAGTGCTGGATGATGGGTGTGTGAGTGATGGATGATGGGTGTGTGTGTGTGTGCTGGATGATGGGTGTGTGAGTGATGGATGATGGGTGTGTGTGTGCTGGATGATGGGTGTGTGTGTGAGTGCTGGATGATGGGTGTGTGAGTGCTGGATGATGTGTGTGTGAGTGCTGGATGATGTGTGAGTGAGTGCTGGATGATGTGGTGTGTGTGTGTGTGCTGGATGATGGGTGTGTGAGTGCTGGATGATGTGTGAGTGAGTGTTGGATGATGTGGATGTGTGTGTGTGTGCTGGATGATGGGTGTGTGAGTGCTGGATGATGGGTGTGTGAGTGCTGGATGATGGGTGTGTGTGTGTGCTGGATGATGGGTGTGTGAGTGATGGATGATGGGTGTGTGTGTGTGTGCTGGATGATGGGTATGTGAGTGATGAATGATGGGTATGTGAGTGATGGATGATGGATGTGTGTGTGCTGGATGATGGGTGTGTGTGTGCTGGATGATGGGTGTGTGAGTGCTGGATGATGGGTGTGTGTGTGCTGGATGATGGGTGTGTGAGTGCTGGATGATGGGTGTGTGTGTGCTGGATGATGGGTGTGTGAGTGCTGGATGATGGGTGTGTGAGTGCTGGATGATGTGTGTGTGAGTGCTGGATGATGGGTGTGTGTGTGCTGGATGATGGGTGTGTGTGTGCTGGATGATGGGTGTGTGAGTGCTGGATGATGGGTGTGTGTGTGCTGGATGATGGGTGTGTGAGTGCTGGATGATGTGGGGGGGGAAGCATTTTTTTTAACTTTATGTGTCTATATATTTATTTTTTTTTATCCCCCCCTCCCTGCTTCTTACCTTGTCAGGGAGGGGGGAGATCGCCTGGTGGTCCGGTGGAGGGAGCCAGCCGCTGCACAGAGGGGCCATCACACGCTGTGTTCCCTCTCCAGCTCTAACTCTCGCGAGACTCGCCTGTGCGGAGCGTTGCCATGGTAACAGCCGCGAGAGTTATAGCTGGAGAGGGAACACAGCGTGTGCTGGCCCCTCTGTGCAGGTAGCAGGGCCGGTCCTGCAGGACAGGTAACGGGAACGGCGTTCCTGCTATGGAAAAAGTGCAGGAACGCCGTTCCCATGCGTTCCTGCAGGACTCGAGCCCTGGCTTGACTGCTTCATTTGCAGTGCAGTGGCTCGGGGGGCCAGGGGAAGAAGCTGTCCCTCACAGCCCCTGCCATCTTAATCTGGTGGGTCCTCCTCAGCTCCTGGTGCTCAATTTGTCAGTACTATAGTCTCATGCATCCAATATGGAACCCTTCCATAGACAATGTCTTTTTCCCCATTGTAGCGGAATTGACGCTTGCCAGGCACTTTTTATTCCCTTTTTTTAGGTGGTCCATATCCCCTGTAGCAGAACTTCCACCTTTCGTGTGTTTTTTCCCTGTTATTTTGTGTGGTTCCTCTTTTCCCATTCGTGACTTCATATGAACATAATCCCTTCGTCTCCCGAACGGAGACCACCCCTGTGCTCCATTAGAACGTTGACACCAACCACTTAAGTGCGAAACCGCAAGGGAAACAGTTTGTGTAACCGAACACGTGACAGAAAGCATGGCGGCCATCTTGTCTCCTGAACGTGGGCAACGGTAGTTGTTTGTCGAGTGCCTGGAACTCTTTTCCGCTAGGCACTTGCGCAAACGCCGGTAAACCTCAGACCGCTGCCCATTCCAGTTCCCGACCACCTACACAAACATGAATGACGTTCGGGAGATTTGAACTACCGTACAGGGGGAGCATTCGTATCCTGAAAAAAAGAAATTCCTCTGTATGGTGTTCGCACCAGAACCTCACAAACGGAGACCGACCAGGGCACCAATTTCCCTGGAACTGTTTTGGGCTAGCACCTCGTGTCTGGCCGGTCAAAATATTACCACGATGGCATTCCCGTTCCTTCCAAACTGATCTGAGTGATTCTTGGATATGTTGGACACTCAGATTGGGGCTATCAGGGAATGCACTTTTCATGGGGTTCTGGGATATGGTTGAGGTACTTTTGGGGTACAGGATATTTGTTGGATTTTCTGTACCTTAAAGATAATTAAATTAGAGGTGTTTTCTCAGGCAATTATCTCTCAGGCACAGAGGATCCTGGGATTAAAAACCCTGCATTATTGTATGTGAAACCCCTTGCATGGGACTGGGCATAAAAGCCATGCATGTGCCAATAAACTTCAGTTATACCCCCAGAGCTGTGTGTCATCCAGTTACTGGGGAGGAGGTGGGAGATTCTTTGACTATTTTGCTTGTTCCCGATTGTACTTTGATGTATCCAGCAGAGAGGAGTCCCTGCTAGGACTAGGGCTCCGCCACACCCATAGCCATCATTAGTGACTACAGGAATTGGAAAACTTTATAGAGGTAGCTCTGCTTTCTGCATCTGTCATTTACAGACATCAATACAGTAGTTTGATTAAAAGTTTCAGTAAATTAACAAATCAAGTTAAAACATAAACATGTAAACATTGTTTAAAAGGACACTATAGACACCCTGACCACTTCATCTCACAGTGTAGAGCCCCTGTCCCCTTGACCCTGCAACTGTTATTATTGCAGTCAATGAGAAACTGCAATAATTACATTGCAGGGTTAACTCCACCTCTAGTGGCTGTCTACCAGACAGTCGCTAGATGCACTTCCAGGTCCTTAGCAGACATTTGGTCTGCTGATGCCAGACGTCCTCACACCTTGCATGAAGGCATCCAGCATCAGCTAAAACCCCATAGGAAAGCATTGATTCAATGCTTTCCTGTGGGGAAGTCCTAATGCGATCGTGGCGATTGATGCGCATGCGCATTAGGTCCCCCACCCCCGCTGGCTGACATCATGAATGAGGAGTGGAGGTAGAACCTGACTAAGCGCCAATCAACGTTGGACTCAGGTAAGTAACGAAAGGGTTTTTAACTCTTTCATCGCAGCTGAGGAGAGCCGTCATGGAGGCACTATAAACTAAATAGTGCGTATACAGGCACTATAACCCCAAAAAAGATCACAGAAACCAAATTGTTTGTATTATATGTACAGGTTTTGTGTAGTCCATCTAATTCCAGGGTCATAGACAAGAAACAGAAGATTGCAGTGGTGGTGGATGTGGCAATTCCCAGTGACTATAACATTAGGAAGAAGGAAGGTGAACAAATACCAAGGACTGAAAGAGAAGCTAGAAAGGATGTGGAAAGTGAAGGCAGTAGTAGTCCCAGTTGTGATAGCAGCACTCAGGGTTGTAATTCCAGGGAGGACATCTGAGATCACTGTCCAGAAGATGCAGTTCTAGTAACAGCTAAGATACTGCACAGAACCCTCAGACTCCCAGGCCTCTGGTACAGGACCCGAGAATGAGAAATACACAAAAATGCATAAAAATATATACCAATGATCTTGTGTTTATATATATACATACACATAAATATCTGTACACTCCATTGTGGAATACATAAGTAAGCAGACATGGAAATCCTCTATGTGCCATTTTAACAAAAATCACTTCTACCATTTTTAAAATGTTTACACATTACACAAAACTTCTTTGCTACATGGAGTGGTGTATAGATGAGATGCAGCATTTAATAATATGATACCATAACACTATTAAATCGCTAGCAACCTTGAAAGACATCTTTTGTCCCTGCTAGGACTAGGGCTCTGCCACACCCATAGCCATCATTAGTGACTACAGGAATTAGAAAACTTTATAGAGGTAGCTCTGCTTTCTGCATCTGTCATTTACAGACATCAATACAGTAGTTTGATTAAAAGTTTCAGTAAACTGTCTTAGTTCCTGCTAAGACAGGTAACTTGGCAAACACTTACACTTTTCTGATATTATTGCCTATACTAGCCCATACTAGAGCGAGAGGGAGGGACAAAAACAGAAACACACACCAAGTAAGAACTATCAGGATTACAATTGATCCAACACGCAGTATTAGTATCACACTTAGGAATAAGGATAACGTCTAACCGGACCTTAAAATGGCCGGACTTAACGTACCAGAGAATAGTCGAAATACTAGCCGAGGTCAGGAACACAGAACGAAACACAGTTGCAAGGAATAGTCAGGGATACCAGAATTCAGGGAAGTCAGAAAGAAGCCAAAGTCAATAAACAAAGAAACACGATCAGGAACACACTCTCAGATAACTAGCAAAGGGAAACCACATCAGGGCAATGAGTAGAAGAAATGAGTGAGTTTAAATATCCCTCTTGTGAATCCTATTGGCCGTACCCAGCCTTTGACCCCAAAACGTGCATGCGTCCTCTGCGTGACGTCACCCGCACGTCGACGTCGCTAACACTGTGGACAGACGTGGGGCTACATAACATGTGGCAAAAGCACACCGAGCAGCACTTCTCCTACTCCTGGAAAGGTGATTTATGTTGTGCATAGCATATGGGGAGGATTTATACGTGACAAGGACAAACATTTACAGATTTATTCACTAAAGTCCAAATGGTCCCGTATCGAATGGGGCAAAACCATCCGTCTGCATATGTGGCCACTAAGGCTGCAAAATCTGAACATTGTTCATGCAATTCAACTCCGAGCAAGCCCAAATGAGCTTGGATTTTAGCCAAACGAAACACCAGGAAGGATAACCGGTAAATCGACGTCATGGTCACGGACGCTCAGGGCTCATTGATGCACATGTAAAGCGAAGTCTAGTCCTTAATGCTGGCCATGATAGCAAGGTTCCAGAACACACAGTGCATCGCAGTTTGCTGCATATGGGACTGCTTAGACATGAGAGCGGTCAGAGTGTCCATGATAACCCCTGTCCACAACCAAAGTGTCTTCAATGGGGATGTGAGGGTCCAAACTGGACCATGGAGCAATGGAGGAAAATTCAGCCTGGGCTGATGAATCACGTTTTCTTTTAGATCAGGTGGATGGGTGCATCGTTTACCTTGAGAAGAGATGGTAGAAGGATGCACTATGGGAAGAAGACAGGACAGCGGAAGCAGTGTTATGCTTTAGGCAATATTCTTCTGGGAACCTTGGATCCTGGCATTCATGTGGGTGTTACTTTGACAAGTACCACTGTATTGATTGCATACTGATGCTGGATAGGAACATACCCCAGTGACAATTTGAAAGAAGGGTTAAGAATAGATTACTCTCATGCAAAGGGGACACTAAAAAAAATCTGTTAAGTCATCAGCACAGAGGACAATCAAGCTCATATGTGTCTAACAGAATGTAAAATATACCATGCATTTTGACACCGTAATTGTGTAATGGTAATGGTAATAATGACAGCAGTTCATTTGTGTCTTTCAATTCAGTACTAACAGAAGAGAGATGACAAAGTGGAACCCATCTAAGCAGTAGGAGGTCTTGGAAGTGTGTAGGATGCATAACTAAAATGTTGCTTGTGTGTCATGGTGAATGTATAATGTTGAGAGTTGTATTATTATTATGGGGGCTATACATGCGTGATGAGAGCTGTATACATGTAATGGTAGTTGGTTGCAATATGATGGTGTTTTTTCAATGTGATTGGAATGTTTATGTGTGTGATGGGTGTGTTATATATATATGTTGTGGAAATTGTATTAGTGAGATGGGGGCTGCATACACGCTTTGTGGAATGTGATGGGAGTTGCATTACAGTTTGGGTGATATTTT